GGCTCCCGCCCGCCACTTCCTCGCCGCGCTCGGGCGCAGCCGTGCAGGTAACAGGAGGGCGGCCACAGGCTCTTTCTTGTGTTTTCCAAAGTTACAGAAATAGAAAGAAACCTACAAAACCATAATGTGACACACAGGTAACACCAAAACCAGACGAAGGGTAGAGAACACAGTGCCTAACAAATCATACAAACACGGCATATACATGACGCAAAAATCCAGTCGTTCCACAACCAAACAATGGCCAGACTGTGCACGGGTAAAGTCATCTCACTCACGTAACAAACCTGTACCGTACACCCACGGCGCCAGAAACCGGGGAAGCATTCGGTACGCAAAGGAAAACTACACAGGCTGCTGGGCAGAAGCTACTTGCTCGGCGTGATTTTACTCAGTCGCACATAAACAGTGTATCTGAAGCTGGCCTACAAGAATTTAAGTGGAATAATTCTGAGGACACATCCACACTCATTTGAGCAATTAGTGTGATCAATTAGTGATTTCTGCCGGGGCACAGGAATGGGCTGGAGTGGGGGAATGCGAGATCAGATGGAGGAATGTTAGCCACCCTTGATTTAAGCAACGGGTTTGATGCTTTGTGTAGATGTCATGTGAACAAAAGCCTGCCCAATGCATTGAAAGTTTATTCTACAGTGAATATGTATGTCCAGATAAATGTGCACAGAATCCCATAAGGGGCTTAGAGAGAAGTGGAAATATCTGCAATATAAATGCAGATTACCCTCATCACAAAATTGGGTTCCCATTCTCATTCTGGCCTAATTTCCTATATCACAAAACCTATACTCAATTTTATAAATAGCATATACCAAGAATCATAAATTTAGTTAATGTAGAAATTTAACAAATTTTTTAAATAAAAGTGAGAAAAGACTGTTTTAGAACAAGTATTTGAAAAACCAGAAAGGGTTCTTTCTTTGAAAATATGTTTTTTCCTCTGAGTACCTCCTCGGGGACATAACTAGAAAAGAAATAAATTTCACAGCTAATGTATATGAAGTGACATGTTTAACATTATCCAATGAATTTATATCTACCTGTACCATATCAATTTATCTCACATAAACTGTCAACCCCAACAGAATTCATTAAAGCAATGTTATAGCTATGGAATTAAATGCAACTTTCTAATTGGAATTTAATCTTATAATAGTAGTTGGTGGATTTCCTTTTTTAACTGACAAATGGAATAACTGATTAGTTTGTCTTACAGTCCCCTCTGAAGACTTTAAAAGTGAATTTGACATCGGGATCGGGTTGGCCGGCCACCACTGTGTGGTACTGGGGGTGGGGTGGGGGTGGGAGGTTCTTTGGTTGTCTCTAGAACTTCTGCTGAGTACAGGTGGAAAACGGATGAGCTCTCTTGCGCTCACCATCCTGAATTACTATATCACTAGAATATTCCATTACCTCTACGTAAATGTCACATTAATTTCTGATCTTCATCAAGTCACACAATGGTTTCCACCTGGCCCCTAGCCAATTAGCTATGGGAAGTGTTCAGCCAATTATATTACTTCTATTACACTAGGGACTGGAAAGAAAGGCAAAATAAACACCTCAAAAATACTTCAGAGATAAAATGTGAGTTGACATTGTCTTCACAGCTAGAGCCCAAGTCATCACTCTGACAGGCAGCTGCCAGTGCTCATAACCGCTTATTAAATCTAGCCTCTCTTTACGGCCTGAGTGAAGGTCTGTATTTTTACCAATATTACGTTCGTTGTGTTATGAAAGAGACCAAAATACTTAAGATCACTCGCTCCAGCCTATAAAACGTAATGTGTAGTTTATTAAATTGTTAAAATTACTTCTCAAAGTCAAAATTTCAGGGGCTGGAAGTTTAAGCACAAGGAGGTGGCTCGGCCCACTGACAGCGTCCAGCACCGGGCAGCTCAGAGGGGAGCCCACGAGCGCCTTCCTGTCCCAGGGGCCTGCTGCTGCCCCCCTTCCTGGAAGCTGTGCCACCACTGCCGCCCACCCCAAACCCAACGACAAAAAATCCACACTGTTGGGTTTTATAAAAAAGCAAACTCTCGGCCAAAAAGTGGCCCATGATCAAGTCGTGAGAAAAATTATTTTCCCCATCTGTACCTCTTCCTAGTAGGTTACACGGTAGGAACTTGACTATGAGAGCGAGCAAAAGAGGAACTGTGGGCAAATAAGAAAAAACAAGTGGTGACAGAACAGTGTCACATGATGCGTACGCTCTTACACCAGCAAGGGACACACGCCGACAGGGACAGCGCAACGCCAAGGCCCAGCCTGAGCGCCAGCCTGCGGAGGGCTCGTCTCCGGTCACTCCTCAGGCAAACGCTGTGCGGACCGGCCGCTGCCCACAGGACGCACAGCGCTGTGGCTTCCTGCCCGGGGGCGGCGGACCCGCTCTGCACTCTGGGGTCTGGTGATGGGCGTCGGACAGGTCCAGCGTCAGCTGCGGCTCCGTGCCGGGGACACTGGTCCCCTGCAGAACCACGGCACTGAAGGCAGCCCTCGAGCACAGCCCGTCCTTCTCTGCATCCTACCCCGAAGTCAATTTGCTGTGCAGGCATGGTTATCACCAACACAAATTGAGTGCATTACCCATTTTCTGACTTAAAACTCTGCCACAACAATCTGTTTGTGTACACCTTTTATGGTAGCATTTCATCCCCCAGGGCCTGATAAATACAAAGCACTTCCATGTTTATATAAACGGGTGTTTGTCGGGCCTAACAGTACATTTTATCAATTCAAAGGAGATAACATGTTCATTATAATAGTTCATATTGATTTTTCAAATAGCAGATCTTACCCAATGAAATTAATGAATAAAATGAACCTAGTCTTCAATAAGTCCATTCATGTGGTTTTGTTAAATTTCATACATCAATTTTATGAGAGTGAGATTAAGTCAGACTCTCTCAATACTGAAGACAGAGATGACAGGTAACCTCAAACCTGAGTTTGTTGCTATTTCAATATCTTCACATTCCAACCACTTCTATGAATTCTCCAATGCATATGAGACAGACCCAGGCTTTGTTCTCAACTCTACCTGGATCCCCACAGACTTTTTCATAACAAGTGCTGTCTGCTCCCTAGTCTAGGCCATTCACAAAAGCCTGGCATGGCTGTGCAACAACAGAAAAACCTCAGGAGAACTTCACAGATGAGGGAGTCAAAGGACTTGCCCAGGACCACCCAGTACGATGGTCAGAGCTCTCTAACAGATATAAAGTCCCGTGATGCCATCAACCATTTCCCTTCACTGTGGAACCCCTTCATCGCGTGGCACTGTTTCCTGTTTCCCTTACTCCTTGCCAGCGAAAGAGAGAACACTGTAAGGAAGACAAAAAAGACTTCCCTCCATCTAGCTCCAGGAGAACTGAATGCCAAGGACAAGCCATCAGTGACCTAGAGCCCATGGGCTCTCTGAGGATCATCTGGGCTGCAATACTTAAGCTAGATGCTTCACAAAGGCTCTTTTCCTTTTCATCTATAAAATGGGAGGGATTTGTAAAAATGACCTCTAACTAAAATCTTTAAAAATCTGGCCCAAATAGCTGAATGCATAACAAGGTCTCAGAAGAAACACCAGAAAAGGTTTACTAACCTGCATGGGCCGAACGTCTCAATCTCTATCGAGATAAGGTAGAAAGGAATCACTGAGGACAAAAAGAACAGGATCCAATTCCAAGCAAGCCCAGGGACTTTTCGCCTCAAACTCCATGGGCTTCAGCTGCTGCATTTGTAAAGTGGGGGGATTTAAACAGACAACTTCCAGGGCCTTGTTGTTAGCCTCACAAATAGGACACTCAAACCTAAGTGCTTTATTTTAAAAACAGAACTCAAAACGGAGACTAACATAGTCCGTGTCAGGCAGCTAACAGGTCTCCCAATTTCCAATGTAGTGCTCTTTCAGCTTCACATACTTTCTTCTATTAATTTGAATCTGTCTCAAATAAACTCCACGAAGACAAAGATGACGATGGTTCCTACCATTACATGCCATTCAACACAGAACCTGAAACCAGTGGTTCCCCATGAAGTTGACCTCATTCTATGTCAAATCTACCAAAAGGCCTGGTCTCAACCAAGTATTGCCTGTGGTAAAAGCAAGTCGTAACTGTCTATTCATCACTACACAGGAGCCGTCGATTTCCAAGGAGCAGGATAGAGGCGTTCAATACGGACAAAACACGTGTAACAGAAAAGATTGTGATGTTCCTTCTAACCTCCCCCCAAAATTACAATGAATAGCCTGATGAGGTAAACTCTGATAGAAAAAAGTGCCCAGTAGTCTTTCTGAACATCTCTGAGCAGCTAAAGTTCCCAAACCTTTAGCTTCCTCAAGAGCCCTGATCCTGTGGAAGGCCTGGGATGGGACATTCTCAATGAACAAATAAAACTTAAATCCCCCTAAACTCAAGATAAGGTCATTATAGCTTTATTTCATGGTGGTTCATTTTATCATCAATACTCTTTCAACTGTGCATGTGGCTCATAATTTAGATAGTCCACCCTTCAGAGTATGGTTAAAAGAAACAAGCAAGTAAAAAACATTCCCGTGTCCCATTATGCATTTTATAATCCCTCAGATCGGTGTAGGGGTTATTCAAAAAGATTATAGCAGAAAATAATGACCGAGTTTGTCCCGCCTTTCAAAATGAGAATCTCTCATCCTCACTGCAATTGTTCTGATCAACTTAAGACTTTATCAGCTTCCTGCACTGTGTAGGACCCCTTCCGCTGACTTTTTGTCTTGTGAATTTTCAGATGAGTAATCGTAAATGTACACTCACCCTGTCGGCCAGCAGGCATCACATCCACCCATTCACGGTTGACAGCAAATCAGAGAAGGGATCAAAGCCCTCACCATTGCCCAAATGTTCTGTTTGGGAACTGGAATTTGTCAGCAAAAGCTCCTGGGACACTGCAACACAAAAATATTTTTTACACATAACTAAGATGTAACTTCTAAAACCACCACTTCCTTACACTTGAAAACAGCACGACAGACATAGAATCTAGAGGTAGGGGAAACACCTTTCAAATGAGGGGATGTCAATATCAAGTGTAATGCTGTAAAATATGAACCGGAAATACTGTTTTGAAAGATACATTTACCAACTACTTTAATACATACACTGAAAAGTGGTTGTTTATTGCAGACTTTGTGCAAATATTTTACATATTTTGGCATTACCATAGCATGTGCCACTACAAAGTGCTTAGGCAACAAGCTGTGTTAACCCAAAATCATACATGGATAAATGTACTCCATTCTCAATTAATTATGTTTTCCAGAGGATGAAAAAACATGAAAATATTAAATAACAATAATTTAAAGTTATTTTTAAAATAACAAACACCAAAACTAGTAAAAATAGTAACCATAATTAATTTTTCCTCCAAAATAATTCTAAAAATGTTTATGAATTACATAAGGAACAGACTCATGGAGATATTTCCATCAAGACAGAACATACTATGTAAAGTTCAGGCATCAAAGTGGAGAAGCCTGAATTCTGGACCCAGTATTGCCACCAATCAACTGTGTGGCCCCAAGAAAGCCAGTTAACATCTCAGGATCCCTGCATCTTCATCTACAGGGCCATAGCATTAACTGGTACTCCCCAAGTCCCTTCTTCCTCTTAGCTTCTGTCATCTTTGGTAAAACATACTTATTCTAAATAGCTTCAGCTATCAGAAGAAAATTTTTACCATGAATCACTCTTATGTTGATCTGCCATTAACATCAAAGATGTGCTGTGGGCAAAGAAGGCCTGCACATGCATAGAAGACTTCTCACTCTGGCACGAGTGCTCAACCCTGGTGAGCTGGCACCCTTGGTGGCAGGAAGCTTCCTCTAGGTTCCCATGGAAGGCTCCCATTGCTCTCAAGTGAGTATAGCTCCAACTCCTACGGAAATCTACCCAAAATGTCTCATAGAGGAGGTTTCTCAGACTTAAGTGTGCACAAAGTAGAGACATTTTGAAACACATATTCCCAGGCCCCGTCCCCAGTGTCTGGTTCAGTTGTTCCAAAGTGGGGCCTGAGATTCTGCATTTCTACCAAACTACCAGGGAATGCTGACACTGCTGATCAAGGGGCACAGTTTGAGTCCAAGTGATCAAGCCCCATTCTCTAAGCCTCGAGGAGTCCTGAGACCCCCGAGGCATTTCCAAGGCTCAGAGAGGCTCCCCAAATCACTGAGCCACACACAAAAACAAACGGGCCAAGGCTGCTTGCTATCTTTGGGATAAAATCCAAACTTCTTTCTATAGCCTAGAAGACCCTGCATAATCTGGTCACTTTACTTCTCTGATGGGACCACCAGCCACCAACCCAGCCGCCAACTCTGACACAGACCATTTGCCTTCCTCTGGTTTCAAGCAAGCCCAAGTGTTCCTGCCTCGGGACTGGGCACTGCTTTTCCAGCTCCCTGCAGTCCCATGAGCCTCTCCCTCCCAATTCCTTCTTGTCATTGGCCTTAGGAGCAAAGGCCACCTCAAGAAGGCTCACCTGCCTCCCTACCCACGCAAGCTAGGACTCCAGTGACTCTTACTGACATCACCCTATTTGCTTTCTTCAGGGCTCTTGGATTAATCTAAAAACTTCTTTCTCACTGTTCACTAGTCTTTCCCACTAGAATATAAGCTCCATGAGACAAGGGAACCTCTCTGTTATATTCATCACCATACTGCAAAACCTCACAGAAATGCCCCCTCACAGCAGGTGCTCAACATAGACTTACTGAAATAAATCAACAATTAAAAGGATTCTTCAGCATCCTATAAAAATATAATCACCATTTACTGAAAATTCATTAGGTACTGGATATTGTCTTAAGTGCTTCAGAATAGTTACTTCATTTAATTTTATTTTCACAACACAGTTCTTATAAGCTCAATATAGCAGCAGGTAAGGAAAGTGAGGCACGGAGTTTCTGAAACCTGCCCAGGACCACAGAGCAGCAGAGGCCTGACTCTGCAGAACGTGCACGCACAGGGCCTCAGTCCTTTCCAGTCAATACCCACAGACATTCTGAGTGCTCACCTTGGACTCGACACCCTCTGCCACAAGCTTGCTCGAGTGAATTCTGGCTGCAACCCTCACTGACCAGGCGGACACCACCCCTGAGCAAGGGGTGGGCAGGTATGAGTACCGGGGGACGAGGAGTGTGGGAAACTGGGGGACTGTGCCTCCTCAGCCAAGAGGGCAGCAGACACTCCACAAGCCAGCTGCTGCCATGTGGGAACATAAACCCAGGGTTTCGGGAGCTTTCGATTGATTCTACAAATGAAGGCAGTGGTCCAGATTATTGTTTTGTGAAATCTCATAATTTTTCAGACAGGAGCTAATCATTTAATAGTACTGTACACATTTTCAAAAAAGAAAGAAAAACCATGCCACTCCTGCACCAAAATGATTGTCGAGGTCACGCCGTGTGTCCCGGTCTGGGGCTCCAGAGGGCCGCAGGCGCCCCAAGCCATGCAGCAGACAGAGCAGCACAGCAGGCTCTGAGCAGACGGGGGGCTCTAGGAGAATTATCTTGAGTAAGTTTTGGAAGGAAATGAAAGATGGGGTAGAAAAAGGCATTCCACAGTATAAAAATATAGTATTCAAAGGCTTAAGGGTGGGTAAGGCCAGCCACCTAAAGAATAGCAGTGAGGAGGGGGCTGGGAGGAGGGTCCTGCAGGGGCTCTAACTTGCATTCACACTGGAGGAGCTGCAGTTTTCCAGCTAACATAGGAGTTGGCCAGACAGTGCTCTAAGAGCATGCTCATCACTGCTGTTTTCTTGGCTTCCTAAATGTTGAAGTCACCAGGCATATCCAAAAACAAAGGACTAGCTACCACTGTGGTATGTGGAATGTTTTTGTTTTTGTTTGTGCTTGTGTTTTGTTAAGAGTCCAAGAAACGCACGACTGGATTCCATCTCCACCACACTCTCTAACTCTAACCAAGCACTATAAAAATAACATGTACTGTAGTTTTTACATGCATTTGTAGTATATGTACCATAAAATGCATGGTATATGCATGCTGCATACTATAATGCATGGGTACATATACATACATTTATATATTATAAAATATATAATATAAAAATATACTGTTGTAACTGAAACACTATATATACTATATATACTATATATACTCTAGTTTTATACATATTTATAGTTTATACTATAAAATGCATACACATATACTATAATACAGACATATACATAAATGTACACTACAAAGCTCTGTATCTCTAACCAAAACTCTGAGCTTTAGAAATGAAAAATACAGCAATTAAAAAATGTTTTAAAACCACCAAAAAAGAAGATAGATATCCAAATAAATTATCCAGAACGGTGCTCAAAGGTAAAATCTGTATCTAGAATTACATACTTGGAAACACTATCCTTCAAAAATGAGGGAGATATAAAGACCTTTTCAGACAAACAGAAGTTTATCACCTCTATAAGAACATTCAGAAAAATGTGCTTCAGACCAAAATAAAATGATTTTAGGAAGAAGGTTCTCAGATTTAAAAAGGAAGGAGGAGCCAAAGTAATGGAGAACCTGTGAGTAAATGAAAAGTAAATGCATTAAAATGATGTGCAGATCTTAAAAAACAAACAAACAAAAAGTTTTACAACAGTGTCATTCACTGCTCCCAGCTCTCTATTCTCACTGTGGCAGCATCCATCGCAAGGCCTTGGGCGGCAAACCTGAGTGTGACTCTGGGGCCCAGCATGAAACTCAGGTTCCTGCTCAAAGTCTGCAAAGTCCACACCTCAGGCAGGTCCCAAGAATCTGCATTTCTACCAGATGCCTCAGGTAACTGAAGCAGGTAGGTCCTCACCTCCAGCCTGAAGAGTAGGCCTGGCGTTGCTCTTAACCACTTAGGCCAGAAGTCTAGTGAGTGCCAGGAGCTCCGCCTGGCAGTCCTGCCTGCCCACTGAGCCGCCTTGGCTCATTCCCACTTCACCAGGGCCCCCAAGAGCACCTTGGCCTAGGGGGCGGGCACTGCCTCAACCTGAGAATCAGGAGCTGCAATAAATTAAAAGCCCATTAAATATTTTACAGAAAAGCCTAGAAGTGCTGAAACATTCATTGTGCCATATCCCATCTGTTTTCCCGGAGATCTGAAAAGCCAGACTACCATCTCAGGAGTCATTAGAAAGAATGAAGTTTTCTCCTTTTCAATTTACATATTTTCAAATGAATATATTCTCGCAGTGGCTACTCCACAGGCTTTGGAATCGGTGGCATGGTTCAGCCATGGAGACAGAACTGGGGGCCACTGGGCCCTCCTGCCTTGTTTTGTAAAGTAAAGAAGCCTGTGGTTACAAAACAGCTCCAGAAAAAACAGGTAGAGGCAGCCGCCAAACAGCAGTGCTGCTTCTTGTTTTGTTCTCCTGGCTTATTTTTCCCTGAAGCAATCCTTGCTTGGTACACAAGTCTGCAGGGAGCTGCAAAGAGCAGCTGTGGTTCCCTGAGGCCAAGACCTAGCAATCAAGTTGTTTCCCAAACACTGCCAGGCATCAGGAAAACAACAACAGAACAGGCAACATGTGCATCTGTTTTTCAAAACAACCTCCCAAAGTCTAGGGCCTGCCGGGGAGAACTTGGACATTACAGGCACACCCTCGCTGGGGATCAGCCCCCAGGGGCCACTGTGGGCCATTATTCCATGTCTTGTGAACAGGGCCCGTCTTCAAAGGGGAGTGCTGGCGGTTTCCAGTCCCAAGTGGCTGACTGACAGACAACATGCTGGTCACTGGCACCTCAAGCCAGCCAGGGCCATCTCAGCAAGCTGGCCTCACTGCTGACCCCCAGCCCTCAAGGTGCCCAGCATGTTTCCCAGTCACAACAAGCACCAGAGTCCAGGGGGTCCAGTCAAACAAGACTGCTGGCCTCCCCCACTATCTTATTC